GACCTTGGCTGTGCAGCTTGTTCTCACTGTTTCTTTCTGCAAGCAATCTTGTCCTTCAGCTAGAAGCATGTAGGTTTCCCTTATCACTACTGCTTCCCAGCTGCTGGCCTGTGAGGTTAGTAAAGTTTAACATGCAGGGGCTTTGATTCACTTAGGCCTAGAGCGGGGGGGCTTCATCGACTCTCGGGTCTTCCAACCCCCCCGAGTTACCTAGGGTGATGCCTAGTGACACCAACACGTACATACAGATAGTATAATCATAAACAGCAAATTATAACCTTTCCATAGACACCTTACACGACAACCTTTGTACAATATTTGCTGCAAATATATAACAGTGGTTGCAACAGTGATCTATACAGTCATAGGTTATGTCAGTAACATCACACCGCACAACTGGGGACACCCTCCTCCCTTGCCTAGTTTAAAGGGTTGTAAAATGAAAGAAATCAAGGACCCCAGTGGTTGTGGGACAATCTGCTAGAAATACACTCATCTATGTAATGAGATTTCAGGATTGTCTCCTCTGTCATTGTAAACACTTGAAGGTTGGTTGTTAGTGGAAAGGGATGGAAACAGCTACAAGCATGCTGGAGAACTCTTTTTGTTGAGACTGTCACCAGGTTAGATCATCATGGGGATTCATGATCTGTTACTGTCCAATTTTTTAACTTAGCCATTGTCAACTTTTTTACACTTTCTGAATTAGACCCCTGTGACAGCAGGAGTTTTCACTGGCCTAGTCTTTTATAGCCTTCTAAATCCTTCTGCAGTGCAAGGATCCCTAGGAAGGGGAATTTCCACTATACAGTCTAGTAAGTCCTAGCACTTCACTCTATGAATAAAATGGGAAAAGGTTAGATTTGCTGAAAGTTTTGAATTACAGCTGGCACTTCTGAGCCTCCTGCTGGGAGCAGCCATGTTGTGGGGACTGTGTGTCATGTGTGAAAGTATGCAGTGTTGAAGCAGTGTTGATCCCAGGATATTAGAGAGATACAGTAAGGTGTGAAAGTGGCAGTGTGAAGGTCCAGTCCCTGGCCAGCCGGAGAATATGGAGCCTACAAAATTGGCATAACTGAGAATTGCAGCTATCGGCTATTGCTCTTCCCTTTAGCCACACCACCTCCCTCTCTATTACAACAGTTAATATTTAATACTTTTCTTGTTGTACTTTTTTATTTCCCCTCCCATACACAAAACCGAAAACCAATCTAGGAAGAAAACAAATATATGGAAATAAAAATACTGGGCTCAAATCCGCAGCTGAGGCAAAGTTATTCTCAGAGGGAAAGTGGACAAAGGGAGTTTTCAGCAACCTTTATGGTCCTCTGGCCCTGTCCTGGATAACTCTGGTTGTCTACTATGGTGCACTGAATAATGTAAAGCAGCCTCAGGGCTGATCTAAATTAGCCCTGGCTACCTATTTTTCTAAGGGGCCATTCTGAGAGCTGTAAATCAGCAATGGCACCCAGCCACCCCCTCTTTCCTCTGGCCTACGGTGTCCCCCTGTGTTTCACAAGGTGTGAGAAGTCGGTTGAATTTAAAGGCTGCTCCAGCACAAAATAGCCAGGGTGGGAGGCTGAGGAACTGGCCTGTATATATACACAACAATATAGCTTCTACTAGTGCTTAGTGGATAACTTAGAGAATAACTTAGTGGCAATTACAATTTACAATAGTCTCCTAAAATCAGATGCATTCGTGGATCTGAGCCCATGCATAGCTCCAGTGACTTCCATGGGACTCCACACAGGTGGAAAGATCTCTCTGCACAAGTCCAGCTGCAGGAGAGAGATTATGAAGGACATACAGAATAATTAAGAATGAGGAGTAAAGGAGTAGCAGCTATTAAATAAATACCCATTTTAGACAAGACTCTATGTTTTACTGACATCAAACAAGATGTTTATATTTTTTAGTGTTAAAGGTACATCCTTACATTTAGCTAATGTCAAAATAAGAGAAAAAATATTTTCAGTCCTACACCCACCCCTGATTTCTTGACTATCTTGTAGCTTTATACCGCATTTT